AATTAAAATGAAGCAGAGTTAGATTTCTAGTTTCATTCCTCTGACTGTGTGCCCATCCATCCACCCTATATTTTCTACTTCCTCCTCCAGCTTGAAAGTTACTTCAGGAAATGTGTGGATAGCTTAGAGTGGTAGGAAATAAACAGTAATAACTAACATGTTTACAGTGGCTCCAAAATGAAGAGAAAATAGTAAAACACAAAAAGTTCCTACAGAACCAAAGAAAAAGACATAGTTAAAGCAAAAAGTACATATAAAAAATGTAGAAATCATGGTGAAAAAATAAGCAACTGCAGTATTCTTTATATGTGCAACAAAGAGTCTTTATTCTGGAGTGGCCCTGTAATCATCTTGTAGGAAGACTTCTCTAGACATTGACTATTAGGTCCAGACATCAGCGAGGAGGGTTGGCTAAGTGAGGCTGCAAATGGAAGTGCAGGAGCCGGGCACACAGAGTAGTGAGCTGAGGACTGACTCCAGGAAGTTCCCTTTCTTCAGGTCAGTGCAGAGGGTTCGATGAAACTTGTAGTGGTTTGTAGTTGGAAATTTTGTCTGTCTTGCCTGGTCCCGCTTCTTCTTTCCCACCCATTGGTCCCCACGCCGTTTATAAAATAATCACTCAGAGAATTTCCAGTAATGGTATTTATTAGCTAGACGAGGAAAATTACACATTTAAGGATATGAAAGAATATATAGATTATGAGTTGTTAAAAAGCAGACAAGTCATAGTTAATTCTGAACAGGGAACACGTCAGGAATGAAAAGGAAGGTTGGCAATCCCAGCATTTATTTTCAAGTTCTGATTTATATTTTGTAGGAGTGGTTAGTGCTTTACAGGAAGGAAGAGAATTGGATAAAGACTGCATGAGGGACATGATTCAGTGATCTGTAGTGAATGGATGGTAAAAATTGTCTAAGAACCTAGCAGTGGCTTCCAAATTGGTCATCAGAGTCCCATCTGTTTTATACTTGTTGCTTACCTAAGGGAGAAGAGAGGATACTAGGTGGGTTGGCTAAAGGGTTTGCAAGCCCAGTGCAAGGGAGATAAGGTCAGGCGTTAGAAGTTTAGACTTCCCCTAGAAGGGAGTCACTTAGAGGTGGTGAGAGCGGGAGTACTGGAAATACATGGCTGCAGTGGAATGAAGGTGGGTGTCTACTGAACTATGAGATTGTGATGGAGTCCTTTCTAAGTGTACCTGTTATCTGTTTTTCTATCTCGCGTATGTTTTTTTCTAGTGAGAGTGATGAGACTACGTGGAATGTCAGTGATTTTTCGCAGAGCGACAGTGTGGACACAGAGCCTGCAGGGCCATCAAAGACTGTCTCCCCACTGCTTCCTGGTATGCTATTGCACCACTGGTGCAAGTAAGTTCTCAAAGGGTATGCACAAAGATATGCTTAATAAGACAGGAAAGGAAGAGCTACGGTAAATTTTTTTAATGTGAAGACAAATTTTTAAAGATTTTATTTTTTGTTTTGTATTTGTTTGTTTTACTTACCAGCCACAATTGCCCCTCCCTTCTCTCCTCCTGTTCCCCCCCCCCCCCCCCCCCCCCCCCCCCCCCCCCCCCCCCCCCCCCCGACACACACACACATACTCCCCACCTACTCTTCCTCTCTTCTCCATTCAGAAAGGGTAAAGCCTCCCATGGGAGTCAACAAAGCATGACATACCAAGTTGAGGCAGGACCAAGCTCCTCCCCCTTGCATCAAGACTGTCCAGGGCATCCTACCATAGGATATAGGTTTTGAAGAGCCAGCTCATGCATCAGGGACAAATCCTGGTCGCACTTCTAGGCCAAGATACACAACTGTTACCCACATGCAGAAAGCCTAGGTCATCAGTCCTATGCCAGCTCTCTAGCTGTTGCTCCAGATTCTGTGAGCTCCCACAATGTTAGGTCAGCTGTCTCTGTGGGTTTCCCCATTATGATCTTGACCCTCCCTCTCTTCAGCTGGACTCACAGAGCTCAGTCCAGTGCTTGGTTATTGATCTCTGCATCTGCTTCCATCAGTTACTGAATAAAGACTGTGATGACAATTAGGATAGTCACCAATCTGATTACAGGGAAAGGCCAATTCAGACACCCTCTCTACTATTGCTACTTAGCTGGAGTCATCCTTGTAGATTCCTGAGAGTTTCCCTGGTACCAGGTTTCTCTCTAGCCCCATAAGGGCCCCCTCTATGAAGATTATCCTTTTCATTACTCACCCCCCTCTATCCACTCCAAACTCAACCATCCTGATCATTCACGTTCCTATCTCCCCATCCCCTTCCCTCTACCACCAATCCCCATTTTACCCAGGAGAACTCATCTATTTCCTCTTCCCAGGGAGATCCATGCATCCCTCTCAGGGTCCTCTTTGTTACCTAGCTTCTCTGGGGTTCTGAACTATACCCTGGTTATCCTTTGCTTTACATCTGATATCCACTTAAGAGTGAGTAAATTCCATGTTTGTCTTTCTGGGTCTGGGTTGCCTCACTCAGGATGATTTTTTTCTAGTTCCATCCTTTTGCCTGCAGATTTCATGGTGTCATTGTCACTGGTTTTTTTTTCCACTGAGTAATACTCCATTGTGAAGGTGTATTGATATGGGATTGCCCTCTGTATGCCGTGAATGTGTTTTATTACCATTGATTAATAAAGAAGCCGCTTCAGCATATGGCAGGGCAGAATATTGCCAGACTGGAAGAGATATATAGAGAGAGTGGACAGAGTCAAGGAGATGCCAAGTAACTGCCAAAGTAGAAACACACTGGAAAAACCTTGGTAGGCCACAGCCTCGTGGCAATGCACAGACTAAGAGAAATGGGTTAATTTAAGATGTAAAAGTTAGTTAATAAGAAGCTTGAGCTAATAGGCTAAGCATTATTGTAATTAATATAGTTTCTGTGTCTGGTGGTGGGAACGAATGGGAAGTCTATGTTTACAATGTACCCCTTTTTCTTTATTCATTCTTTAGTTGAGGGACATCAGGTTGTTTCCAGATTCTGGCTATTACAAATAATGCTGCTGTGAACATAGTTGAGCAAGTGTCCTTGTGGTATGACTGAGCATCCTTTAGGTATATGCTCAAGAATGGTATTACTGGGTCTATGTCCAAGAGTGGTATCACTGGGTCTTGAAGTAGATTGATTCCCAGTTTTCTAAGAAACCACCTTACAGATTTCCATTGTGACTGTACAAGTTTGCACTTACACCAGCAGTGGAGGAGTGTTCCCCTTACTCTACATCCTCTCCAGCATAGGCTGTTGTTAGTGTTTTTGATCTTGGCCATTCTGTAGGCTGCCATTTTTGTCTTATGGACCATGTCCTTTGCCTTATAGAAGCTTTTCACTTTCAGGAGCTCCCATTTATTGTCAGTCTCAGTGTCTGTTCTGCTAGTGTTATATTTAGGAAGTAGTCTCCTGTGTCAATGCATTCAAGGCTACTTCTCACTTTTTCTTATTAATTAATTAATTAATTTTTCCATTAAATTTACACTTCCCCTCCTTCCATTCCCCTCCCACTTTCCCACTCACTCTCCTCTCTCCCCCTCCCTCCTTAAAAGAGGGCAGGGAACCCTGCCCTGTGGGAAGTCCAAGACCCTCCCCCCCTACATCCAGGCCTAGGAAGCTTTGCATCCAAATAGACTAGGGTCCCAAAAAGCCAGTATATGCAGTAGAAACAAGTCCCAGTGCCTTTATCAATGGCTTTTCCGTCAGCCCCCATTGTTAGCCACATTCAGAGAATCCGGTTTGATCGCATGCTTATTCAGTCCCAGTCCAGCTGGATTTGGTGAGCTTCTATTAGAACAGGCACACTGTCTCAGTGGGTGGACCAACCCCTCACTGTCCAGACTTCTTTGCTCATCTTCTCCCTCCTTCTGCTCTTCAACTAGACCTTGGGTGCTCAGTCTGTGGCTCTGATGAGGGTCTCTGTCTCTATCTCCATCCATTGCTGGACGAAGATGCTATGGTGATAGTTGAGATAATCATCAATGTGATAGTGGGGCAAGGCCAGTTCAGACACCCTCTGCTCTGGTGCCCAAGGACCTAGCTGGGGACATCACCATGGATACCTGGGAACCACTCTAGAGCCAAGTCTCTTGCCAACCCTAAAATGGCTCCCTTAATGTAGATATCTTCTTCCCTGCTTCTATATCCGCCCTTCCTCCATCTCCACCCTCCCAACTCCCCCAAACTCTCTTCAGGCTTTCCTTTCTCCCTTCCCTCTCCCCTTCTCCCCTTCCTATGAGGTTCAGTGTGGTTTGTTTTATGTTGAGGTCTTTGATCCATTTGGACTTGAGGTTTTTTTTTGTAGGGTGATAGATATAAATCTATTTGCATTCTTCTACATTCTGCCATCCAGTATGCTAGCAACATTTGTTGATGATGCTTTCTTTTTTCCATTGTATATTTTTTAATTCATTGTCAAAAATCAGGTGTTCATAGGTGTGTAGATTTATGTCAAGGTCTTCAAATGAATTCCATTGATCCACATGTCTGTTTTTATGCACATACCAAACTGCTTTTATTACTATAGCTCTATAGCAGGGCTTGAAGTCAGGGATGGTGATACCTCCAGAAGTTCCTTTATTGTACAATATTGTGTTAGCTATCCTGGGTTTTTTGTTTTTCTCCATATGAAGTTGAGTATTGTTCTTTTGAGGTCTGTGAAGAATTGTGTGTTGGGATTTTGATGGGGATTGCATTGAATCTGTAGATTGCTTTTGCTAAGATTGCAGTTTTTCCTATATTAATCCTCTCAATCCATGAGCATGGGAGATCTTTCTATTTTTTGGTCTCTTCCCCAGTTTCTTTCTTCAAAGACTTAAAATTCTTGTTATATAGCTCTTTCACTTGTTTAGTTAGAATTACCCCAAGATATTTTATATTATTTGTGGCTATTATAAATGGTGTTGTTCCGACCCAGCTTACTTAAAGGGTGAGTGATTCGCCTTGCATCTGAGAAGTTCCAGGTACTTTGTACAACCACTGTCACAGAAGCTGTGTGTTTTCAGTACCTTTGTAAATGGCTGCCATCAGAAAGAAACTGGTGATTGTTGGTGATGGAGCTTGTGGTAAGACGTGCTTGCTCATAGTCTTCAGCAAGGACCAATTCCCAGAGGTTTATGTGCCCACGGTGTTTGAAAACTATGTGGCAGATATTGAAGTGGATGGGAAGCAGGTAGAGTTGGCTTTGTGGGACACAGCTGGACAGGAAGATTATGATCGCCTGAGGCCTCTCTCCTACCCAGACACGGATGTTATACTGATGTGCTTCTCCATTGACAGCCCTGATAGTTTAGAAAACATCCCAGAAAAATGGACTCCAGAAGTCAAGCATTTCTGTCCCAATGTGCCCATCATCCTGGTTGGGAACAAGAAGGATCTTCGGAATGATGAGCACACAAGGCGGGAGTTAGCCAAAATGAAGCAGGAGCCGGTAAAACCTGAAGAAGGCAGAGATATGGCAAACAGAATTGGTGCTTTTGGGTACATGGAGTGTTCAGCAAAGACCAAAGATGGAGTGAGAGAGGTTTTTGAAATGGCCACGAGAGCTGCTCTGCAAGCCAGACGTGGGAAGAAAAAATCTGGGTGCCTCATTTTGTGAAGCCTTGTGCAAGCACAACCCTCACGTGGTTAATTTTGAAGTGCTGTTTATTAATCTTAGTGTATGATTACTGGCCTTTTCATTTATCTATAATTTACCTAAGATTACAAATCAGAAGTCATCTTGCTACCAGTATTTAGAAGCCAACCATGATTATTAATGATGTCCAACCTGTCTGACCAGCCAGGGTCTTTCTGACACTGCTCTAACAGCTCTCTCTGCACTCCACCTGACACCAGGCGCTACATCAAAGAATTTCTTAACTTCTTGATTCTTTCTAGAAAGAGAAACAGTTGGTAACTTTTGTGAATTAGGCTGTAACTACTTTATAACTAACATGTCCTGCCTCTCCTGTCAGCTGCAAGAACTCTGGTTGAGTCACCGATTGCTCCCAGAGCTTTCCTCCGCAGACCCCATGGCAGAGCTCTGGGGAAGGCATCCAGTTTTGCATCCAGTTTTTTGAAAACTTGCTCAGCCAGAAAGGCCCAAGTCCACGAAGTTGTGGCAGAGTTACAGTTCTGTGGTCTCATGTTAGTTACCTTATAGTTACTGTGTAATTAGTGCCACTTAATGTATGTTACTAAAAATAAATATATCTACCCCAGACTAGATGTAGTATTTTTTGTATAATTGGATTTCCAATATTGATATTTGTCATTCCCACAGAAAGTGTATTGTGTTTGTGTGTGTTTTTTTTTTTAAAGAAAGTGTATTTGGAAATAAAGTCAGATGGAAAATTCAAAAAAAAAAATAAATGGTGTTGTTCCTCTGTTTTCTTTCTCAGCCCATTTATCATTTGTATACAGGAGGGCTATTTTTTTTGTTAACTTTTTATTCGGCCACATTGCTGAAGGTATTTATCAGTTGTAGGAGTTCACTGGTAAAATTTTTTGAGTCACATATGTATACTTTCATATGATCTGCAAATGGCAAATGTTTGACTTTTTCCTTTCCAATTTGTATCCCCTTGATCTCCTTTTGTTGTCTTACTGCTCCAGCTAGAACTTCAAGTACTATACTAAATAGATATGGAGAGAGTGGGCAGCCTTGTCTAGTCTCTGATTTTATGGAATTGCTTTGAGTTTCTGGTGTGGGAGATCCTTCTATATGTGTTGCTTTTATTGGTTAATTGCTAAAGAAACTGCCTTGACCTGATAGGGTAGAGTACTGCAAGGTGGTGAATGTTGGGAGAAAGAAGGCAGAGTCAAAAAGAAGCCATGTAGCCCCCACCAGAGACAGATGCCAGAACTTTACCTGTAAGCCACAGTCTTGTGGCGATACACAGATTAATAGAGATGGGTTAATTTAAGATAAGAGTTAGCCAGAAATACGCTTAAGCTATTTACCAAACAGTATTGCAGATACTATGGTTTCTGTGTGATTATTTCGGGGCTGAGCAGCTGGGAACAACAAGCGGGCTCTTAGAACAAGTTTCTTTGTGTTTAGTTTGATGTTTGCTGTTAGCTTGTTGTATATTGCCTTTGTTATGTTTAGGTGTGTTCCTTGTATCCCTACCTGTTCTCCCTAGAACCTTTATCATGAAGGGGTGTTAGATTTTGTCAAAGGCTTTTTCAGCATCTAATAAGATGATTATATGGTTTTGTTCCTTCAGTATATTTTTATGGTGAATTACACTGACAGATTTTTGTATGCTGAACCATCCCTGCATCCCTGAGATGAAGCCTACTTGATCATGGTGGTTGATTTTTTTGATGTGCTCTTGGATTCTGTTTGCCAGTATTTCATTGAGTATTTTTGCATCAATGTTCATGGGTGAGATTGGTCTGTAATTCTCTTTCTTTGTTGTTTCTTTGTTTGGTTTGGATATCAGGGTAACTGACCTAATAAAAAGAATTTGGCAATATTGCATCTGTTTCTATTGTGTGACAATTTGAGGAGTATTGGTATTAGCTCTTTTTTGAAATTCTGATAGAATTCTGTGCTGAAACCATCTGGCCTTGGGCAAAATTGGTTGGGATGTTTTTATTTATTTTTATTTTTTATTTTCTTTTTTTTCAGCAGATTTTTTATTACTTTATAAATAATACCAATCAAAATTTCCACTTCCTCCCCTCCTCCCACTTCTCTTCCACTCCCCTACTCACCCTTCCCTCTCCCCCTCCAGTCCTAAGAGAGGACAGGGTACCCTGCCCTGTAGGAAGTCCAAGCTCCTGCCCTCCATCCAGGCTTAGGAAGGTATGCATCCAAATAGAATAAGATCCCAAAAAGCCAGTACATGCAGTAAAGACAAATCCCAGTGCCATTATCATTGGCTTCTTAGCCTGTCCCAACTGTCAGCCACATTCAGAGGGTCCAGTTTGATCCCATGCTCATTCAGTCCCAGTCCAGCTGGATTTGGTGAGCTCCCATTAGCTCAGGCACACTGTCTCAGTGGGTGGACCAACCCCTCGTAGTCCTGACTTCCTTGCTCATATTTTCCCTCCTTCCGCTCCTCCTTGGGACATTGGGAGCTCAGTCCTGTGCTTCGATGTGGGTATCTATCTCTATCTCCATCCGTCACCAGACAAAAGTTCTGTGGTGATATTCAAGACAGTCATCAGTCTGACTACTGGACAAAGCCAGTTCAGGTACCCTTTCCTCCACTGTCCAGGGTCCTAGCTGGGGACATCCCTGTGGACTCCTGGGAACCCCTCTAGAGCCAAGCCTCTTGCTAACCCCAAAATGGCTCCCTTAACGTAGATATCTTCTTCCCTGCTCTCTTATCCTTGCTATCTGCGTCCTTCCTCCATATTCAACCACACCACTTCCCCAAGCTCTCTCCAACCCTTCCCTCTCCCTTCTCTCGCCCCCTCTTCCCTTCCCCCTACTCCACTTCCACCCCCATGCTCCCAACTTTTGCCTAGCGATCTTGTCTGCTTCCAATTTCCAGGAGGATCTATATATGTTTTTCTTTGGGTTCACCTTATTACTTAGCTTTTCTAGGATCATGAACTATAGACTCAATGTCCTTTGTTTATGGCTATAATCCACTAATGACTGAGTACATACCATATTCATCTTTTTGGGTCTGTGTTATCTCACTCAGGATAGTGTTTTCTATTCCCATCCATTTGCATGCAAAATTCAAGATGTCATTGTTTTTTTTACCACTGAGTAGTACTCTAATGTGTAGATGTGACACACTTTCCATTCTTCCATTGAGGGGCATCTAGGTTGTTTCCAGGTTCTTGATATTACGAATAATGCTGCTATGAACATAGTTGAACAAATGCTTTTGTAGAATGATTGGGCATCTTTTGGGTATATTCCCAAGAGTGGTATTGCTGGATCCTGAGGTAGGTTGACTCCCAATTTTCTGAGACTCTGCCATGCCACACTGATTTCCAAAGTGGTTGGGAGATTCTTAGTGACTTTTTGTTTCCTTAAGAGTTATAGTTCTATTTAAGTTGTTTGTCTGGTCTTGGTTTAATTTTGGTATGTGTTACTTATCAAGAAGATTGTCTATTTCTTTTAGATTTTCCAATTTTGTAGAGTACAGGTTTTTGAAGTATGACCTAAAGATTTTCTGGATTTCCTCAGAGTCTATTGTTAAGTTTCCCTTTTAACTTCTGATTTTGCTAATTTGGATATGCACTCTCTGCCTTTTGGTTAGTTTGCATAAGAGTTTGTCTATCTTATTTTCTCAAAGAACCAACTTGTTGTTTCATTGATTCTTTGTATTATTCTGTTTCCCTTTTATTGATTTCTGCCCTGAGTTTGATTACTTTCTGCCATCTACTCCTCCTGGTTGAGTTTCCTTCTTTTTGTTCTAGAGCTTTCAGGTGTGCTGTTAAGTCACTTGTGTGATATTTCTCCAAATCTTTATGTAGTCACTTCCCTCTTAGCACTGCTTTCATTGTGTCTCATAAGTTTGTTGTGGATTCACTTTCAATGAATTCTAGGAAGTCTTTAATTTCTTTATTTCTTCATTGACCCAGTGGTGATTCAGTGGAGAGCTGTTCAGTTTCCATGAGTTTGTGTGCTTTCTGTAGTTTGTGTTGTTGTTGAACTCTAACTTTAACTCATGATGGTCTGATAAGATACAACGGTTATTCCAATTTATTTATTTTTTGTCTTTTGAGATTCTCTTTATGACTGAGTATGTGATCAGTTATAGAGAAGGTTCCATGAGGTTCTGAGAAGAAGGTATATTCTTTTGTGTTTGGGTGAAATGTTCTGTAGATGTCTATTAAGTACATTTGAGTTATAACATCTGTTAGTTCCCTTGATTTTCTGTTAAGTTTCTGTCTGGCATTGATGATAGTGGGGTGTTGAAGTCTCCCACTATTAATTTGCAAGGTTTGATATGTGACTTAAGCTTTAGTAATGTTTATTTTACAAATGTGGATGCCCCTGTATTTGGGGCATAGATGTTCAGAATTGAGACTTCATCTTGATGGATTTTTTTCCAGTGATGAATATGAAATGTCCTTCTCCATCTCTTTTAGTTTGAAGTCTATTTTGTTAGATATTAGGATAGCTACAATGGCTTGCTTCTTAGGTCCGTTTGTTTGGAGAATCTTTCCTCAACTCTTTACTCTTTGAAGTTGAGGTGTGTTTTATGCATGCAGCAGAAGGATGGATTCTGTCTTCATATCCATTCTGTTTGCCTGTGTCTTTTTATTGGTGAATTGAGTTAATTGATATTAGGAGATGTTATTGACCAGTTATTGTTAATTCGTGTTATTTTTTGGATTTGGTGGTAGTGGTAGTGTGTGTTTTCCCCTTCTTTGGATTTTGCTGTTGTGAGATTATTTATTGCCTTTGTTTTCATTGATGTAATTGAGTTCCTTGGGTTGGAGTTTTTCTTCTAGTACTTTCTGTCGTGCTGGATTTGTGAATGGGTATTGATTAAATCTGTTTTTATTTTCATGAAATACCTTGTTTTCTCCATCTATGTTGTTTGAAAGTTTTGCTGGGTATATAGTATTTTAGGCTGGCATCCATTGTCCATCAGTGTCTGTAAAATGTCTCTCCAGGATTTTCTGGCTTTTAGAGAGTTCATGGAGAGATTAGGTGTAATTCTGATAGGTCTGCCTTTATATGTTACTTGACCTTTTGCCTTTATAGTTCTTAAAATTGTTTATTCTGTATGTTTAGTGTTTTAATTATTATGTGGTGAGAGGATTTTTGTTTTTGGTCCAGCTTATTTGATGTTCTGTAAGCTTCTTGTACCTTTATAGTCATGTCTTTCTTTAGGTTGGGAAAGTGTTCTCTTATAATTTTGTTGAATATATTTTCTATGCCTTTGAACTGAAATTCTTCTCTATTATTCTTGTTTCTTCGTGGTGTCCCAGATATCGTGGATGTTTTGTGTTAGGAAGTTATTGGATTTAATATTTTCTTTGAGTGATGAATCTGTTTCCTCCTTCATATCTTCAACGCCTCAGATTTTCTGTTGGTGATGGTTGCATCTGTAGTTCCTGTTCACTTTCCCAGATTTTCTGTTTCCAGAATTCCTTTGATTTGTGTTTTCTGTATTGTTTCTATTTCAGTTTTCAGTCTTGAACCATTTATTTTACCTGTTTGATTGTTGATTCTTGGCTTTCTTTAAAAGATTTATTGTTCTTTCAATTTTTTGTTGGTCTTTTACTCGACAACTTTAAGATTCTCTCGCATCTTTATAAAGTAATTTTTTAAATCTATTTTCTTGTGTTTCAGCTGCATTGGAATGTTCGT